AAGGCCTAGAAGACAAGTGATTCTTAAAGACACAGCACAATGCAAACCCCTCCTGCTACAGAAAAACTCCTGAATCTACTGAATGAAATCTCAAACAAACAAACAGAACTCTTCCTATGCTTAGCTGAACCGGCAAGAAAGCAAGAGAATTCTTCAGAGGCCAAAGCGAAGCAAAGCACAAACTCAGGATGAAGAGCACTGAAGCCGGCTGCTGTCCCGCGGGCGGCTCATGATCGATCCCCAATCCCCAGGAACTTGTAACTTGGGTTTTCTCAGCCGTGCTATGAGTCAGAAGTCGAAACTTAGTACCCTTGCTGGCTGGAGATTTGGTCGTAAAACCTTCCATAAATCCTGGACCCCAGGAGGCTATACTCTCAGGGAAAGAATGAGCTAGAAAGAAAACGTCTCGTGAGGGAAAAGGACACAGCTCCGAACAGAAAGGAGGTACGAACTCCCCCCAAATAATTCATATGCATCAAGCTGGCCTTCTCTACGCCTTGGCACCAAAATTCATTCTACTACTTGGCCAAAAACAAAATCTAAGCCAGGGTGAACGTTGTGGTGCAACAGGTTAAGCCACCCCTTGGGATGCCCACATCCCATATCGGATTGCTGGTTCAAGTCCCGGCTCTTCCACTTCCAATCCAGCGTCCTGTGAATGCACCCTGGGAGACAAGAGATGATGGTTCATGTGCCTGGGCCCCTGCCACCCATGTGGGAGATCCAAATGGTGTTCTGGACTCCTGGCTTCCTGCCTGCTGTGGGCCTTTGGGGAGTGAAACCACAGATGGAAGATCTCGCTCTCTTTCTCTCCCTTCCTCACTATCTCACTCTGTTTACCTTTCAAATAAAATGAAAATTAAATAATCAAAAAAGGCTACTTCTTTTAAATATATTTTTAAAAACTAAAAGGTTGGAAATTAGTAATTTAAATGCTTATAATTAGAAAAGTAAAGATTTGAGGCCGGTGCCGTGGCTCACTTGGTTAATCCTCCACCTGCAGCACCAGCATCCCATATGGACGCCTGGTTCTAGTCCCGGTTGCTCCTCTTCCAGTATAGCTCTCTGCTGTGGCCTGGGATAGCAGCGGAGGATGGCCCAAGTGCTTGGGCCCCTGCACTCGCGTGGGAGACCAGGAAGAGGTACCTGGCTCCTGGCTTCAGATTGGCATAGCTCTGGCCATGGCGGCCATTTTGGGGGTGAACCAACGGAAGGAAGACCTTTCTCTCTGTCTCTCTCTCTCACTGTCTAACTCTATCTGTCAAAAAAAAAAAAAAAAAATCAGGGGCCAGCATTGTGGCATATCAGGTAAAGCCTCCACCTGTGATGCCAGCATCCCATATGAGTGACAGTTTGAGTCCCGGCTGCTCCATTTCTGATCCAGCTCCCTGCTAATGTGCCTGGGAAAGCAGCAGAGTACAGTCCAAGTCCTTGGGCCCCTGCACCCATGTGGGAGACCTGGAAGAAGCTCCTGGCTCCTGGCTTCAGAGCAGCCTGGCTCTGGCGGTTGCAGCCATTTGGGGAGTGAACCAGCAAATGGAAGACCTCTCTCTCTCTGTGAATCTATGCCCCATCTCTCCCTCTTTCTCTCCCTCTCTGTAACTCTGCCTTTCAAATACATAAGCATTTTTTAAAACCAGAATAAATATGAGGAAAATAGTAGGAAGACATAACAAGTAATGAAAAATAATAAAATTGAAAACAGAGAATCAGTGAAACCAAAGTTGATTCCTTGAAAATTGCTAGACTTCTGAAAAAATTTATTAAGTTTGTGGTGGTGGGGGAGAAGGCATGAGTAAGCAATACTAGAAATGGAAAAGGAGATAAAACTTACAATTATGGGCAAAGTGAACATTGAAAACAGAGAAGTATAAACAAATCAATGCCGATAATTAAAAAATTAGATGAAATGGACAATTTCCTAGAGAATATAATTTTCCAGATTCAAGAATAGAAAAGCAGAATGAATAGTTCTCTAAACATTAAAGAAATTGAATCAGTATTTAAATTATTTTCACAAAGAAGATACCAGGCTCAGCTATTTTCCAGGTAAAATTGATGAAAACTTCCTAGCAAAGATTGCTCTAATCTTACACAGATTCTTCCAGAGAATAGAAAAATAAGGGACGCTTTCCAGCTCACGTTTGGTGGTGTCACCAGCTCTGTGGTCATTACACAGGATCTCTCTAGCATAGTAGCTTCAGGGCAGCTGGCTTTGGGCTCCCAAGATACAGAGACAGGGAGAGACACAGGGAGAGATGATGTGACCCTGTGACTTAACTAAAGAACCATTGGCCGGCGCCACGGCTCACTTGGCTAATCCTCTGCCTGTGGCACCAGCACCCCAGGTTCTAGTCCCGGTTGGGGTGCCGGATTCTGTCCCGGTTGCTCCTCTTCCAGTCCAGCTCTCTGCTGTGGCCCGGGAAGGCAGTGGAGGATGGCCCAAGTGCTTGGGCCCTGCACCCCATGGGAGACCAGGAGGAAGCACCTGGCTCCTGGCTTCAGCGCGCCAGCTGTAGCAGCCATTTGGGAGATGAACCAATCAATGGAAGGAAGACCTTTCTCTCTCTCTCTCTCTCTCTCTCTCTCTCTCTTTGTCTAACTCTGGCTCATAACAAAAGAAACAAGAAAATAAAAAACATGAGAAGACATGGCAAAGCTCTGGTTAGACGCTGAAGAGCCGCTGCATACCGCCTGATCTCTTTCCTCCTCCACCCAGCCGGCAACATCCTTCAGTGGTTTCCCTTCTCGCTTGCGTCCCATAGTGAGGATGATGAGGCTGTGGAGTGAACTGACTCATGATAGACATGGCTCATGAGAGAAACAAATCTCAGTAATTTTGTGACCATAGCACAATCGGGTTTTCCTGACTCAACAGGCACCTGGGAACACATCTAACAAAAAGAACTACAGTATCACTGTAGACATCGTTCACACTTTGTTGAAATGCATAAAGAAGAACTAAGCAAAAAGAGTTATGTCATCCCAATGGTTAGAAAGAGTCAGCATCATAAATTCTCCCCCAAATGACTCATCCAATCAACATTCTAAAGGGTTGCTGATGATTTGACCAGAAACTCTAAAATACATGGGATGGGATGGGATGGGATGGGATGGGATGGGATGGGATGGGACGGGACGGGACGGGACGGGATGGGATGGGACGGGACGGGATGGGATGGGGAGATGGGATGGGATGGGATGGGATGGGATGGGATGGGATGGGATGAGATGGGATGGGATGGGACGGGATGGGATGGGATGAGATGGGATGGGATGGGATGGGTGTTTAGCCTAGCAGATATGTTGCCGTCCCCATCCCACAGCAGAGTTCCTGGGTTCAGTACCCAGCTCCGGCTCCTAACTCCATCTTCGTAAGAACGCAGACCCTCGGAGGCAGCAGGATGGCTCAAGTAATTGGGTTCCTGTCCCCACGTGGGATTCTTGGATTGAGTTTCTAGATCCTGGCTGGCCCAGCCCAATGCCAGCCTTGCAACCATTTGGGGAAATGTACCAGCAGTTGGGAAACCCCCCTCTCCCCATCTCTCTTAAATAAATAAATAAGATATTTTTGAAAGATTGATTTATTTATTGGAAAGGTAGAGTTACAGAAAGGGAGAGGCAGACAAAGAGAGAGAAGTCTTCCATCGCTGGTTCACTCCTCAAATGGGCCAGACTGAAGCCAGGAGCCAGGAGCTTCTCCTGGGTCTCCCAAGTGGGTACAAGGACCGAAGTACCTGGGTCATCTTCCACTGTTCTCTCAGGTGCATTAGCAGGGAGCTGAATTGGAAGTAGGGAGGCTAGGACTCGAACCTGCACTCACGTGAGATGCCAGCGCTGTAGGTGGCTGCTAAATTGGCTATGACACAGGGCTAGCTCCATAAATAATGATTTTTACATGAAATGAAATATATGTGGTGCTGGCACTACGAATCACTAGGCTAATCCTCCGCCTTGTAGCGCCGGCACACCGGGTTCTAGTCCCGGTCGGGGCGTCGGATTCTGTCCCGGTTGTCCCTCTTCCAGGCCAGCTCTCTGCTGTGGCCAGGGAGTGCAGTGGAGGATGGCCCACGTGCTTGGGCCCTGCACCCCATGGGAGACCAGGATAAGTACCTGGCTCCCGCCATCAGATCAGCGCGGTGTGCCGGCCGCAGCACACCGGCCGCGGCGGCCATTGGAGGGTGAAACCAATGGCAAAGGAAGACCTTTCTCTCTGCCTCTCTCTCTCACTGTCCACTCCGCCTGTCAAAAAAAAAAGAAAGAAAGAAAGAAAGAAAGAAAGAAAGAAAGAAAGAAAGAAAGAAAGAAAGAAAGAAAGAAAGAAAGAAAGAAATGTGAGGAGCAGGCTTTTAGTGGTTAAGATGCCCACGTCCCACATCAGAGTGCCTGGGTTTGTTTCCTGGCTCCACCGCCTGACGCCTAACGCTAGTGCAGACCACGAGAGGCGGCAGCAGTGGCCCAGGTAACTGAGTGCTTGCCACCCACAGGGGAGATGCCGGTTGCGTTCTCAGCTCCCAGCTTCAGCTCCAGCTCAGCCCCAGCCCAACATCGGCCACTGCAAGCCTCTGGGATGTGGACCCATAGACGGGTGCTCTGTCTCTGTCTCAAATTTTAAAAAATGTTTTAATAAAATAAATTATATGTGAAAGAGCAAGGGACCAAGAAAATCCAAGACACTCTCTAAAAAAGAACAAAGTTGGGTTTTTACCTTGGGTATTTACCCTGGAAAAATGAAGACATATTAACAGAAAACTACTCAGATGTTCATAGCAGATTTATTTATAATAAATAAAAAATTGAAAGCAGCCGAGATGTCCTTCAGTGAGTGAATGGTTAATTAAGCAAACTGGTGCATCCTTGTGGTGGAATGAGAAGGCCATGGCAAGTGGCCACTGTAAGCAAGTGTCAGTTACTCAGGAACCGCTATGAAACCCACCTGGCAACAGAGCCTGCCTGGCAACAGGCTGTGATTGGCTAGGGCATAAACCGCCCCTACCTTGGCTACTTAAGCTGCTGTAGCAACTGAAATAAAGGAGTCTGTGGCTGCTCGCCTCTGGCCCGCTTTCACCCGACTCCCAGGGTCTGTGTGGTGACTCTGCGCCTCTTGTCCCCACCATACTCCTCCTCTCAGAACAAATCAACCTCAACATCTGGCGCCCAACATGACAGAGAGAGACAGCGTGTCGGACTTGGCGAGGTCCCCCCTGGATTTCAGCAAGTAGGCCCCCTGGTGTTTTGTGTGCTGTTTGGTTCTGTGAGGGTGAGCACAGAACCTCTCCTACGCCCCTTTCCTTGTCCTTGTCCTCAGTCTAAGTGACCCCAGGTTAGGCACACACTGCTCAGAAGTGTACGCCACTTCTCGGCTCCTCCTTTTACTTTCGATTCACCAGGCAAATTCAGATAAGGGACTGATCATCCCAGAATTCGGAACCAAGTCATCTTCCCTCACTCGAGAGAGGTGACGCTCCGCAGACACCGTGTGGGCATATGGCGTAGACCTAATGAAGCAAGGAAGTCCCCCACTAAGCACAGGACATGCGTACGATCTGATACACCACTGTCTGTTCGTCTAACGTAGGGACCCCCTGCAGAATGCCATCAGCCGCTGAGTGCTAGGAATTTGCATTGTTATGGCAGCAGTGCTGTGCGTGTCTTTCCTTTGGCTAGAGTTGGTGTGGTGCACCACTATTAAGCGCTCAAACATGGGAGAGATACCCCCCTCTCAGAATCCCATGCAGATTACCAAACATAGTGAATCTGTGAGTGATAAGAGTCTGACACTACAGGCCTCTGCCTCACAGGCAACAGTTGATGACTTAGGGAGAGAGAGCTCCCACAGTAAAAATAACAAGGTAGCAATGCCTAGTCAGCCACCCCCACCCCCAAATACTCCTGGGATAAACACAGACGACCTTGAGGCAATAACCCATGTGAGGTCATCCCATCCACACCCAGTGAGGATCCCCACATTTGTGGTGGTCCCCAGGCACCCCAGGCTCTCAGGGCAGCCACTAGACCCCAACCCACCTGCATGTTTGCCATTAATGTAGAAGTGGATGCAAAATTCAGGCCCTGGATTCTGACCCCTGTAAAAAGGCTTCTGCTAACCAAGGGTCAAGGATATGCTTGTGTCTTTCCAGAGAATGTGGGACAGCCCATTTGGGTACCAGCCAGAAACATCAAGCCTGCAACTGACAGCCAACCAGAACCAGCTGAACAAGACTGAGAGTCCACTTTGTTAGAAGATGCACCTGCCCTATCATCCTACCCCGAAAACTGCCCATAGCCACATCCGTTACTGTTTTATACCCCACTAGCTCTGGTCAGCCACTCGAGTGGTCCACAGCCTGTGTGCGGTCATGCCATTCCTGATTACCATTGTCCCTCATTCCTACCCCCATCTGAGCAAGCACTCCTGTGGTCTCCTGCTTTGAGTGCTGGTTAGTCAATGATGGGTAAGATCCTCTGGGGGACAACCTAAGACAGGCACAGCCACATACGGAGACCACATGGAAATGGGGTCAACAATGGTATGGCCAAGAATCATGCCTCCCACTGCTCAAAAATAAACTAAAAGGGGGAAATGTGGTGGAATGAGAAGGCCATACCAAGATGGCCACTGGCAAGCAAGCGTCAGTTACTCAGGAATGGCTTTGAAACCCACCTGGCAACGGAGCCTGCCTGGCAACAGGCTGTGATTGGATGGCTTCAGAAACTGCCTGGCAACAGGCTGTGATTGGTTAGGGTATAAACCGCCCCTTGACCGCATTGGCTGCCTTGGCTATTTAAGCTGCTGTAGCAACTGAAATAAAGGAGTCTGCAGGCTGCTCCCCTCTGGCCCGCTTTTACCTGACTCCCAGGGTCTGTGTGGTGACTCTGCGCCTCTTGCCCCCACCATGCTCCTCCTTCAGCACAAATCAACCTCAACACATCCTTCCCATAGAATAGGACTCACTAGGAACAGGCTATGAATGCAACAGCCCGGAGGGCCCCCAAGGGAATTATGCTGAAGGAAAAATGCATACATCAAAAAGCTACATACAGGTGCTGACATCGAGCTGCAGTGGGTTGAGCCACCTCCTGCACTGCCAACAGCCCATAGGAGTGCAAGTTGAGTCCCAGCTGCTCCACTTGTGATCCAGAAACCTGCTAATGCACCTGGGACAGCAGTGGAGGATAGCCCCCCGAATGCTGGGGCTCCCACCACCTATGTGGGAGATCTTGATGGAGTTCCTGACTCCTGGCTCAGCCTGGCCCAGCCCCAGCTGTTGTGACCATTTGGGGAACAGACCAGTGCATGGAAGACTGCCCCCCTCATTCTTTCCTTCTCTCTCTATAACTCCACCTTTTTAAAAAAAAAAAAAAAAAGATTTATTTTATTTATTTGAAAGACTGAGTTACAGAGAGTGGTTGAGACAGAGAGGTCTTCCATCCACTGGTTCACTCCCCAGATGGCTGCAACAGCCAGAACTGTGCAGATCCAAAGCCAGGAGCTTCTTCCAGGTCTTCCACATGGGTACAGGAGCCCAAAGACTTTGGCCATCTTCTACTGCCCTCCCAGGCCATAGCAGAGAGCTGGATCGGAAGAGGAGCAGCTGGGACTAGAATCGGCGCCCATATGGGATGCCGGCACTTCAGACCAGGGCTTTAACCCACTGCGCCACAGCACCAGCCCCAAACTCTGCCTTTCAAATGAATAAATAATTCTGTAATTATCACACAGTTATTCTTAAGTGTTGAAAATTAACTGAAATGTGATCCCTGTTAAACATAAGAGTGGGAATAAGAGAGGGAAGAGATGTATAATTTGGGGCATGCTCGGGCTGACTTGCCCCAATTGGTAGAGTTGGAAACATACCAGGGGATTCCAATTCAATCCCATCAAGGTGGCATGTGCCAATGCCATCTCACTATTCCAAGTGATCAATTTCAGTTCACAATTGATCATAATGAAAGGACTAAGAGTCAAAGGGAGCACATAAACAAGTCTAGTATCTGCTAACACCAACCAATAGAATAAATAAAGGGGAGAGTGATCCAACATGGGAAGTGAGATACTCAGCAGACTCATAGAATGGCGGATGTCCTAAATAACACTCTGGCCTCAGAATCAGCCCTAAAGGCACTCGGATCTGGCTGAAAAGCCCATGAGAGTATTTCAGGCATGGAAAGCCAAGACACTCTGGCAAAAAGATCTCTGTGAGTGAGATCCCAGTGGAAAGAACAGGTCTTCAAAGAGGGAGGTGCCTTTCTCTGAAGGGAGGAGAGAACCTCCACTTTGACTATGACCGTGTCTAAACAAGATAAGAGTCGGAGAACTCAAGGGGCTTCCATAGCCTTGGAAACTCATAACTGGTGCATAGGGAGATTACTGATGCCATAAACAGGAGTGTCAATTTGTAAAGTCAACAACAGGAGTCACTGTGCACTTACTCCTCATGTAGGATCTCTGTCCTTAACGTGCTGTACACTGAGGCTTAATGCTATAACGAGTACTCAAACAGTATATTTCACTTTGTGTTTCTATGGGGGTGCAAACGATTGAAATCTTTACTTAATGTACACTAAACTGATCTTCTGTAAAAAAAAAAAAAAAAAAAAAAAAAGAAATTATCAATTCCCAACTTGACTCTCACTGGGATTAAACATGACAATAGGTCTGATCTGATTTCATCATCATTTAAAAAAAAATCATCTATTATTTTTCACTTTATGTTTCTGTGTGGGAGAAAACTGTTGAAATACTTACTTAAGGTATACTAAGCTGATCTTCTGTATATTAAGATAATCGAAAATGAATCTTGATGTGAATGGAAGGGGAGAGGGAGTGGGAAAGGGGAGGGTTGTGGGTGGGAGGGACGGTATGGGGGGGGAAGCCATTGTAACCCATGAGTCGTACTTTGGAAATTTATATTCATTAAATAAAAGATAAAAAAAATTTTTGGTTTTTTTTTTTTTGAAAAAAAAAAAACTACATTTAGTATTGTTTCATTGATAAAACTTTTTTTTTAAAAAAGAGAGATTTATTTTTTTGGAAGCCAGAGTTACAGAGACAGCAAGAGAGACAGAAAGAGAGAGATGGAGAGAGATCATTCTTCCATCCACTGGTTCACTCCCCAGATGGCTGCAACAGCCCGGACTGGGCCAGGCCAAAGCCAGGAGCCAGGAGCTTCATCTGAGTCTCCCACATGCTTGGGCCATTTTCCACTGCTTTTTCCCAGGTCATTAGCAGGGAGCTGGATCAGAAGTGGAACAGCAGGGACTTAAACAAGCATCCTTGTGGAATTCTGGCGTCGTGGGCTTTACCCACTATGCCACAGCTCTGCCCCTAGAACATTCTTAAATAACAAATTACAGAGCTAGAGAATACATTCGTGGTTGCCAGAGTTTAGAGATGAGAGGAGGGGAGGAGTGGCTGTAAGGGGTACCACGAGGGAGCCTTGCAGTGATGCAATGTTTTGTGTCCTGATTATGGTAGCAGTCACACAGATATGCACAGATGATAGATGTGAGGAAAGACAGTAACATGCACATCCCAGGAACTCCAAGTAAGATGGCTGTTTGCAACCCACCTTAAGACACACTGTAGTCCAAGTGTTGAGAGACAGCAAGACAAATCTTGAGAGCAGAAGGAGGAAAGCGACTTGTGATACACAAGGGAGCCTAAATAAGTTTATCAGCAGATTTCTCCTCGCATCCTTTGGAAGCCAAGAGACAGTGGGCTGATATATTCGAAGTGCTCAAAGAAAAAACTCTGTCAAAAAGAAAAAAAGCCTGTCAACCAAGAGTCCTGTATATAGCAAAACCTTCTTCAGAAGTAAAACAGAAATTAAGACTGGCCCAGGGAAATAAAATCTGAGCCTCTTTTGCCATTGGCACTGCCCTGTAAGAACTGCCCAAGGGAGTCCTGTGAAATGCGTGGGCGCTGGACATTCACTCCAAACTGGAGGAAGAAATAAAGATCTCCATAGAGGGAAATGCTTCATAAAAGCTAATATGATGGAAAGAGGGAACTCTACTTTCTGTTTTCTACATGACTTAGGAGCCTAATATATTTTAAAGAAGTTACTAGTCTAAAAGCTAGTGTCAGGGCCAGCCTTGTGGCACAGTGGGTTAAGCTAGTACCTGCAATATTGCTGGCATCTCATGTTGGAGTTATCAGTTGGAGTCTCAGCTGCTCTGATTCCCCTCCGGTTTCCTGCTAAAGCATCCAGGAGGAAGTAGATGATGGTCTAAGTACTTGGGCCCCTGCCACCCATGTGGGAGACCAGAATGAACTTCCTGGCTCCTGAGGGCATTTGGGGAGTGAACCAATTGATAAAAGATCTCGATCTCTCTCTCTCTCTCTCTCTCTTCTCTCTTCTTTCTTTCTCTTTTTCTGCTTTCCCTGTTGCTCTGCTTTTCAAATGAATAAATGAACCTTTTTAAAATAAAGTAAAAGCTATGTTGGGATTGACATTGTAGTGTAGCAGGTAAAACCACTGCCTGTGGGGGCTGGTGCTGTGGCATAACAGGTAAAGCCTCCAGCTGCAGTGCCGGCATCCCATATGGGCACCAGTTCAGGTCCCAGCTGCTCCTCTTCTGATCCAGCTCTCTGCTATAGCCTGGGAAAGCAGAAGATGGCCCAAGTGCTTGGATCCCTGCACCCACGTGGGAAACCTGGAAGAAGCTCCTGGCTCCTGGCTTTGGATCGGCACAGCTCCAGCCACTGCGGCCAATTGGGGAGTGAACCAGCGGCCAGAAGACCTCTCTCTCTCTCTCTCTCTCTCTCCCTCTCCTTCTCTCTCTGTGTAACACTTTCAAATAAATAAAAAAGAAAAAAAAAAAAAACACTGCGATGCTAGCATTCCATGTGGGCAGCAGTTCATGTCCTGGCTGCTCCACTTCCCATCCAACTCCCTGCTAATGAGACTGGGAAAGTAATGGAAAATGGCCCAAATGTTTGGGTCCCCTGCCACCCACATGGGAGACCTGGATGAAGCTCCTGACTTTGGCCTGGCCCCATCCCCTCCATGATGGCCATTTGGAGAGTGAACCAGCATATGGAAGATCTCTGTAACTGATTTGCAAATAAAGCTATTGTCATTATAACCTTAGTCTGTAACTATATTTCATTTTCTATGTAATTTAAGAGACAGACAATTACAAGTTTATGTTTGGGGCACAGTGTGTAAGGATTATAGCTCTGTGACATCAACAACCAAAAGGGGCCAGGTCAGAGCAGCAAAGGAGCAGAGCTTTTGTATTATATGGGAGTAAAGCTGGTATCAATTCAATTCGAGTGTTAAAATTCTAGGGCCTTAAATGGAATCCCCATGGTAACCACAAAAAATAGATAGGTCATATACACAAAAGAAAATGAAATAAACATTTCATTACCAAAAGATCAACTGAAAACAAAAGAAGACGGTAATACAGGAAGTGAGGAACAATAAAAACCATAAAGCATTTAGAAAACAAATAGCCAAATGACAGAACCCCCTCCATATCAGTAATTACACATTAATGGATTGAACTCTCCAATCAAGCATGAGAGATTGGGAGAATGGATAAAACCAGATAATCCATCTATATGATGTCAACAAGACACTCACTGTAGATCAAGACATAAGTAAATTGAAAGCGATAGGAGGAAAGAAGATGTTTCATGCAAATAATAACCAAGAGAGGGCAGAATGCCTATATTAATATCACATAAGACAAATCTTCAATTTTAAAAAAGGACAAAAAATAAAGTTTTTAAAAAAGCTTCAGCATAGCACAAACACAGAACACATAATAATTACAAGCATGTATACACCCAGTGCTTGGCCATCACGATACATGCAGCAAAAATGGAAGGAATTGAAAAGAGTGGGCCAGTGCTGTGCTGTAGCTAGTAAAACAGTGCTGGCATCCCATATGGGTGCCTGTTCAAGTCCTGCTGCTCCATTTCCAATCCAGCTCTCTGTATGGCCTGAGAAAGCAGCAGAGGATAGCCTAAGTCCTTGGGCCCCTGTACCTGCATTGGGAGACCTGGAAGAAGCTCCAGGCTCCTGGCTTCTGATCAGCCCAGCTCCAGCCATTGCAGCCATTTGGGGAGTGAACCAGTAGATGGAAGACCTCTCACTCTGCCTCTGCCTCTGCCTCTCTGCAACTCTGCCTTTCACATAAATAAATAAATCTTTTTTAAAAAATAAAAAATAATTGAAAAGAGAAATACATTGTTCTTCAGTAATAGTTGGACTTCAGTATTCCACACTCAACAGTGAAGGAAAAACCAGACAGAAGTGAGGGAATGGGGGACTTCAACAGAGTAATAAATCAACTATATCTAACAGTCGTAAAGAACACTCTGCTCAACAATGAGAACATTTTTCTCAAGTGCACATGGAACATTTTCCAGGATTGATGTTAGGCCGCAACTTAAGTATCAATAGATTTCTAAAGAGAGATACCAGGTTGTTGCGGTGCAGCTGGTTAAGCCACTGCCTACAACACCAGCAACCCATATGAGCCCCAGTTGGAGTCCCAACTGCTCCACTTTCTATCCAGCTTCTTGCTGATGTGCTTGGGGAAGTGGCAAAAAATGACCCAAGTACTTGGGCCCCTACCACCCATGTGGATGACCCAAATGGAGTTGTAGTCTCCTGGCTTCTGCCTGGCCCAGTCCTGGTCATTGCAGCAATTTGGGGAGCGAACCAGGGATGGAAGATCTCTCTCTCTCTCTCTCTCTCTCTCTCTCTCTGTCTCTGTCTCTCTCTCTCTCTCTGCCTCTCCATCTCTCTGTGCAACTCTGACTTTCAAATAAATAAATCTTAAAAAATAGAATAAAAAAGATGTCATGTGGGGCTGGTGCTGTGGCATGGCAGGTAAAGCCACCGTCTGCAGTGCTGGCATCCATATGGGCACTGGTTCCAGTTCTGGCTGCTCCACTTCTGATCCATCTCTCTGCTATGACCTGAGAAAACAGTAGATAATGGCCCAAGTCCTTGGGCCCCTGCACCTGCATGGGAGACCTGGAAGAAGCTCCTGGCTCCTGGCTTTGGATTGGCACAGCTCCAGCAGTTGCGGCCATTTGGGGAGTGAATCAGTGGATGGAAGACTTTCTCTCTCTCTCTCTCCCACTCTCTCTCTCTCTCTCTCTCTCTCTCCCTCCCTCCCTCTCCCTCTGCCTCTGCTCTGTAACTCTGCCTTTCAAATACATAAATAAATCTTTAAAAAAAACTTATAGGAAGCTGCAAAAGCAGTGCTGAGGGGTAAATATATAGCTTTAAATTATTACATTAGAAAAAGAAAGATCTCTCGGAGGCCAGCGCTGTGGTGCAGTGAGTTAATCCTCTGCCTGCATTTCTCCTCTTCCCATCCAGCATGCTGCTATGGCCTGGGAAAGCAGTAGAAGATGACCCAAGTCCCTGGGCCCCTGCACCCACCTGGGAGACCCAGAAGAAGCTCCTGGCTCCTGCTTCAGATCAGCTTAGATCCAACTGTTGTGGCCATTTGGGAAGATTTTGGAAGATTTTTCTCTCTGTCTCTCCATCTCACTGTCTGTAGCTCTACCCCTCAAATAAGTAAATAAAATCTTAAAAAAATAAAAGAAAGTGATGTTAAGCAAACTTTACAACCTGAGGCATAAAAAATGAAAAATTAAACCAAAAACCACTGAAAGGAAGGCAGTGATGAAAATTAGAG